GGCTTAGAGTTCAGGGAGACTGGATCTGAGTCCTCTCTATAGTGCTGACACATGGGGTGGCTCAGGCCATGGGACCTCCGAACTCCAATCCTCACGTCCATATAATGGGCATGAATAACACCACCCACTTCCAGGAGAGCTGGACAATTCCAGGACTTCCCAAGGTGGCAGAGGCTTGCAACCTCTTAGACACGTCTCCAAAGGGCTCAGACTCCTGTGTCTCCTTCTGAAGTCAATGGACAGCCCTGACCTACCCACCGAGCTCAGCAGCACAGCCTCCAGCCCCGCTGGAGTTCACCGACCCCAAACCCTGTTTGCAGGGGCCTGGGAGGTGAAGTGACCTGCCAGGCTCACCTAGGAAGTCCGAGAGGTGCCTCTCCATGCTGCTGCCACCTCATGCTACTGATTTACCAAAGCAGCAGCAGGTTCTCAGGGAATATGTCTGCCCTGGCTGGGTGGCCCTGGGCACCAGAGAAGGCAAGTCCCAGGTGCTGTACTTGGCCATCTTCTGAGGCAAGCTCCAAGGCAGTGGCACTTAACTGAGGGTGTCCTGGTATCACCCAGGGAACCCCTTTCAAAATATACACACGCAGCCCTTACCACCACTGACAACTCTCAAAAGGAGACGCACAAGCCAGGAAGCCATCTATACTGGTAAAAATCACAGTAAGCATGTCCTCCCGTGATTCCAAGGCATGACAGTTTAAATTGGCTGCTGTAAGATTTTTTTATTTTTATTTTTTAAAAATTTTTGGTGGTGCTGATTGAACCCAGAGCTCTCCCACTGAGCTACTCACAGCCTGAAGACTTCCAACTCTTATTCCCTCTCCTATGGGAGCAGCTGTAGCTCCCCAGGGTTCAAGTACAGTCTGGAAGAAAGCCCAAGGGGATTCTCATTTGCCCAAGGCTTTCTGTGGAACGTCGCGGCCAACAATGAGACCTCGGCCCAGAAGAGAGACGCAGAGGGAGAGCAGAGACTAGCTCCAGCTCTGGGAAGGTGGCAGCTCCCCTGACCGAGGAAAACAAGCCACTACACGCTAGCTTGTGGGTGGACACAGCCTTCCCGTGTCGTCAAGAGCGACACCCTTGCTTATTGGCATGGAAAGACGATCCTGCTACACTGAAGGAAAAAACCCACACATTCCAGAAAAGTGGATAATGGACTGACCCGTTTTTTTTTTTAAATATTTTTTTTAGTTGTCGATGGACCTTTTATTTATTTATATGCAGTGCTGAGGATCCAACCCAGTGCCTCACACATGCTAAGCAAGCACTTTACCACAGAGCCACAACCCCAGGCCAGACTCACCCAATTTTGGGTAAAAAACAAGGTCTCTCTCTCTCTCTCTCTCCGTCAATCTAAATATTTCAATATCAACAAAAAATAACTCAGAAGGATTAATACCAAATTGCTTAGAGTGGTTACTGGGAAAGAGAAAAGCAATAATGGGTGAATTTTTTTTGTCATCTGTCATTTTGTTAATTATGAGTATGAGCTTTGGGTTCAGACAGAGCTGGGTTCACTATTAGGAATAAACACAAGTTACTCTCATTGTTAATACTTTGTTCTTCTTTTTGCACTGTGGTTTGAGCTCGTGGCCTCATGCATGCTAAATACACAGTGTGCCACTGAGCTACACTCAGTCCTATTTTTAAGAATTTTAAATTGCCAGCCATGGTGGTGCACTCTACTCCTGTAATCCCAGCCACTCGGGAGGCTGAGGCAGGAGGACTGCAAGTTCAAAGCCAGCCTCAGCAACTTAGCAAGACCCTATCTCAAAATAAAAAATAAAAATGGGCTGGGGATGTGGCTCAGTGATTAAGCACCTATGGGTTCAATCCCTCGTACCAAAAAAAAAAAAAAAAAATTGACACATAAAATGCTCACACATTCATCTTCCTTGTTGAAAGCCACATTATAGAAGGCTCTCTCTCTGTCTACTCCCAACCCCTAGGACCCTCCCAGAGGTCAGCTTGATGTCTATTACCTCACACATTTTTCTATCCCTTTTTCTTTCCCTGCAGTACTGCGGATTGAGCCCAGGGCCTTGCACATACTAGGCAAGCTCTACACTGAGTTACACCCCCAGCCCTCTTTTTACTTTATTTTGAGGCAGGGCCTCCCTAAGTTGCCCAGGCTGGCCTTGAACCTGCAGCACTTCTGCCTTAGTCTTCTGAGTAGTTGGAGTGCACTACCATGGTCAATGTGTTCCTATGCATTCGTACACTGACTCTCAAGTAAGTGTGCATGGATGCTATTTTACATTCTGTGTTTTTTTACTGAACAGTAGGCTTTGATAATATACCCACGATAGCCCACAGATATCTGGTGCACAGTTTTACACTTTTAAATTAAGACAACATACTAAATAAGTGAAGCTAATTGTACGGAGTCAGAATAGAAAATACCCCTGGAATGGCTTGCTTCTGGCTCCCTCTGGAACAGCTGGAACCCACCCAGGTGCCTTCTCTCCCCCTCTCCGGGGCCCAGGCTCTTCTCACATCTGGGGCTTGCACTTACCCATGAAGCTTGTGTCCAACAGCTGAAGCCTGGCCACATCCCAGGCCTGTGTGACCCCGATGTTTGGTAAGTTGAGGCTTACTTTCCCATTGCTTTGGGGTTGAAGCCGGAGGAATGTTCTCAAGTTCAAGGCCACTGCCAGTGCTACCTGTATAGTAAAGGGCAAGAGTAGTTAGCCTGAGGGTGGGCGGGGAGGGGACCAGAGTCAATATACTGGGAAGTGAGGGCAAATACCAGCACGCAGGCCACTCCCACCCATGCCCTGGCAGACCTGGGGATCAGCTTTGCCCTGCTGTCCCACTGACCCTGGGCACAGCCACTTTCACTGAATTAGGCGTTTATATCCACTTATATCTGCCTTCTCCATGGAAAACTTCAGAGGTTCTCAACACCAAGGAATTTTGCTTCCCCATGATCTCGACATTCTCAAAGAGAAATATAAATAAGAACATAAAGAATGGCCCTTGGAATGAATGAGTGGATGAGCATGAGCTTTGGGTTCAGACAGAGCTGATTCACTACAACATTTACCAGGCTGCGGGGAGCTTGGTCAGGGTATTGATTTTCTAAGCCTGAGCTTTCCCATCTGTAAATAGGAAACAAAGGGATGTCCCTCCAGGGGTAGGTGCAAAGGTTAAATGAGCTGATGCATGTTTCTGACTTGTTCGCTGGATCATCTTTCAACTCCTAAACATGGGAGGGCCCCTGTGCTCAGTCCTCAAACATCTTCTCCTGTACATCAGCTCATTTCCAAAGTGATTTCATTCCACATGCAGGGCTTTACATATATCGTCTTTTGCTGTCTTACTGAGTGAGGCCAGGGAAGCTCTTCAGTGGGCATAAGATCTGTCTTTGCCTCATCTGGCCGGGGAGAAATGAGCCTCCTCTCTGATCTGCTCCCAAGCTATGCCTCAGAGCCTTGCTTCACCTTCTTGCCAGATCAGTGTCGGGGAGAAGTGAGATCCAATCCTTGAAAGCTCTGGGGGATTTTTACCTTGCCATGGACCACAGCATGTTCTCCATGAAGGATGACTTTCCCTGGAGAAGACACCAGTAGGACTTTGGACAACATGGCTCTTGAGAATCCTGAAAGGGAAAGCCGGAGAGAGGAACAAAGGTGCCTAGATGTCAGGACAGCAGGAAGAGATCTCAGAGGAAGCCCATATTAAGCACATCTTTGTAACAACCACAATAGCATAAAGAACACTTGCTATGTACCTGAAAGTAGTGCAGTAATACGGTCAACTGGACAAATGAGAAAGACAAAAGAGTTCAAATGCCAGCTCTTCTACTCCCCAGTGATATATCATCTTTGCTAACTCACTTAAATAGCTACAAACTTCAGTTTACCCACACATTATATAGAGACAATAATGTAACCTACCTCAACACATCATTGGGAAAGTTAAGTTAATCTAAAGAAAATAGAAGTGTCTGGCATACTGTTATCACTTGATTACTGATAGCTAATTAATACTAGTTTGTTCTTTTATCACGATTACTATTGAAGGCAGAAATTCACATGAGGGTTGGGAGGGTAGGTCAGTGGTAGAACACCTTCCTAGCATGAGCAGTGAGCAAGGCCCTATGTTTGATCCCCAGCAAGAAAGAGGGGGGCAGGCAGAAGAGGGAGATGGGGAAGGGAGGGATTGAGGAAGGAAGAGGGAAAGAGGGAGAGAGAGAGAGGAGGAGGAGGAGATTGATTCCCATGAAATCGTGGACGAAAAAGAACTCTTTCCTGGACATTGAGGCAGTTTCCAAGGTGTCACAATTATAAACATGGTTGCAGGAAACACCCGTCCTGCCCCGTTTTGCACACTTCAGCGGAGATTTCTGCAACAAGTGCAGCCAGTGCCTTGCTGCGTCTCCGGGTATGTAGCATTTTACACTTTTACAAATAATGCAAAATTACCCTTCGCTTAAGGCTTTTCGTGAGACACCTTATTTATTCCCGGAAGACCTCAGTCGCACTGGGAGCTAAGGACCACGGCGATCCCTGCTCTTAGGGAGGGGGACAGCCAGATTTGAGGCTGCTCACACCTCAGGACGGACTCTCAGAGTTGGGGAAACTGAGCCAACGAAGCTGGCCGCCCGACACGGGGTCGACTTTGGCCTCGGATCTCGCGCCACCCGGTCCTGAGACCCCAGCTTCTAACCTGCTGCCGCCGCCGCCCCTTCGTTCCGGAGCCTGATCTACTGCTACGGGTCTCCTCCATCCCCAAGAGCTAGTGCCCCGCGGGAGGCGGCCTCTATTTTCCGTCCAGCCAATCAGAGCACGCAAGCCGGGAACCCCTTTACGAATTGGCTTGCATTGGCCAATAGGGATCGCAACCAAGCCGTCAAGGGTCTTCCCGCCCCTCTCCTTAGGCGAACCAATGGAAAACAAGTCCTTTAGGAGGGTCCCGCCCTGGTCCGAGAGCCGCGAACCAATGGGAAACGGCATCTGAGCGGTGGCGTGGCGGCTGTGGGTGGAGTCATCCCCTGGGCCTGGACGGTGGCCTGGCTGGGTCAGCTCCCGACTAGCGGCCCCCGGCATGGCTGTGTGGGTCCGGGGAGGCCGCTTTGGCCTTCGCGGGTGCCTCGGCGCTAGCAAGCTGCTATGTCCCCGTTTTCAGAGTCGCGGCCCTCAGGGCGTGGAAGACGGGGACAGGTGAGTGTCGGGCTGGGTGGGTAACTCGAACACCTGCAGAGTGCATCGTGATGTCGTCACCTTGGGTACGTCAACATGACGTCCCCAGTGTACTGACGTCACCGTGAGCAACGTGGAAGCCAGGATTTCTTTGCCAGATTTTAATGCAGCCCAACTGTCATCAGTCAGGGCAGGCCATGTCCCTTGTGGGCCAGGAGGACCCACAGTCGGATTTTGACCTGTCTCCAAAGCAGTTTATACAGACACACTGACATTATCTCGAGATGGCACTCATCATATGCTTTGAAATTTGCACCGCTCCCCAAGACCACCCCAGCCTCAGAACCTGTAAAATACCACGAATTAATAATGGGTTAATATATTTTATAGGTTCAGTAATATAACTTTTGAATAACCATATAATGTCACATTTTAATTTTGAGCTATGTAAATTTTATTTTTAAATTTTTTTTAATTTTTTTAGTTGTTGATAGACCTTTCTTTAGTTTATTTATTTATACGCGGTGCTGAGGAAGGAACTCAGTACTTCACACATGCCAGGCAAGTGCACTACTGCTAAGCTCCAGCCCCAACCCCAAACTATCCAAGTTTTATGTTGCTGTTTGAAAATGTTAGTTTGGGGGAATCCTAGGGATGTAGATCAGTAGTAGAACATTTGCCTAGTATGCATGAGGACCTGGGTTTAGTCTCCAGCACTGCCAATAATTAAAAAAAGACTGAAGAGGTTGGGTTTGTGGCTCAGTGGTAGAGCGCTTGCCTAGCATGCATGAGGCACTTTGTTCGATCCTCAGCGCCATATAAATATAAAATAAAGATATTGTGTCCACCTAAAACTAAAAAATAAATACTTAAAAATAAAAGGCTGTTGTTCTAAAAAAAAAAAAAGTGAAAATGCTAATTTTCAAATCCTGTTTTAGTAATACTTCATTTCTAAGTGTACCTGAAGCCTTGTGGAATGGAAGTGGCCCAGTTTTCTTTCCCTCCAGGAGGCCCTGACTTAGTGGTAGAAAGTAAGAGTTTGGGGAAGGTAGAGGGAACAGTTTGGGCCCTGGAGTAGGACAGTCTTGGAGGTGAATCCAAGCTCTGCCTCTTCCTCCTTAGGAAAATGAGTCTCACTGTGAGCTACAGTTTCCTCCATAGTAAAATGAAGGTAATAGGTCGTGTCTACCTTTGGGGTTACTGGAGGATTTCAGGATAAATCCAGGAGAGAATGCCCAAAATCCACTGTGGTACAGGAGCTATGGGGGGATTAGTCAATCAGTTCTTTCAGCAGATATTCATTGAACATCTCCATTGAGCAATGCATTACATCAGCTACTCTCCAGACACCTGTGGGCAAGGTACAGAGCTGGTTCACAAAGGACTTGAAGTAGAAGGAATAGGGGGGACAGAGGTCAACAAGATATTGCCACCCAAAAGGTGGGGTGGGGGTAAGGGCTACTGCTGAGGTTGCAGGCAGAAAGCTGGGACCCACAGAGGTGCCCCTCTGTGTAAGATATCTCACTCATGACCTCTTGGTGTCTGTTTCTCATTAGGCTACAGCCTCCATCGAAGAGCCCTAAGACCCCCAAGATTTACACCAAGACAGGAGACAAAGGTAGGGTGAGGACCGGTGAAAAATGCAACAAAAGACATACAGCTGACCTCATTTCAAAGTTCTTCTAACTTCTTTGTAGCCATTAAAAAGTATGTGACTGGCTGGGTGCTGTGGCGCATGCCTGTAATCCCAGCAGCTCAGGAGACTGAGGCAGGAGGATCATGAGTTCAAAGCCAGCCTCAGCAACTTATCGAGGCCCTAAGCAACTCAGCGAGACCCTGTCTCTAAATAAAATCACAAAAAGGGCTGGGGTTGTGGCTCAGTAGTTAAGTGTCCCTGGGTTCAATTCCCAGTTTAAAAAAAAATTATGTGACAGATCTGAATCATATCACAAAAATGTGATGTGAAATGAAAACCCCCAAGGAATGTCAAGTGATGAAAACATGTTTGGGGTTGGGGAGAGGCAGACAGCTCAGTGGTAGATCTATCTAGGTTTGGAAAAACTATGCCTATCAGAATGATACCATTTCCTGAAGTTTTAAAACCATGCAGATCACATTGTTTTTTGGATCTATACTTAAAAGTATACACATACACCCAGGATATACTTAACGCCATTGAACTATAGACTAAAAGAAAGACCAAAATGGTGAAGTTCACGTTAAGCATGTATTACCACCACCAAAACAAAAAGAAACGTACCCAGGGATGACAAGGGTCAGGCAGTAGTGTCCATGACTGCCAGCCAAGGACCTCCAGGGACCACCAGCAGTGAGATACAGGGGCAGTTGCCTCCTTAGCAGGAAGGAGGTGGCCCAGCATGGGACTCTGAGACGACTCCATAAAAGAATGGTGGAGGGGCGGGGCTGGGGCTCAGAGGCAGAGCACTTGCCTGGCACGCGTGAGGCGCTGGGTTCCATCCTCAGCACCACGTTAAAACATTAAATTAATAAAATAAAGGTATTATCCATCTACAACTCAACGTATATCTGTATAGATGTACAGATGTATTTACATATAAATATATTTTTTAAGGAGGGTGCGGAAAGGACTCATAGGGCTGGGCTTGTGATGAGTGGCTTGGGGGGAGGGTTCAGGGAAGTGGGGCTCTGCTCTGGATGGGACGCTGTCGGAAGGCAGGGCTGATTACGTCATTGGGTATTTTAATTTTTCCCTAGAAGGTGGGAGAGAGGAAGAGGGGATACAGATGCAGTGATCACTCACACTTACCAGGAAAGCGGGTGTTGGGTATTTTCATATTGTGGAATTGCTCAGCTGTCGCCTCTTTCGTTTTGGTCCTGATCTGTCACAGTCATGGTGGACCATCCGATAGCATTCTGTGAAGTCATTTGTGTTCAGCAGAGCAGCCAACCTACCTATGAATGCCAGGCCAGTGTTGCCAGGCAGGGACCGTGACCCAGGCAGGAACCGTGGCCCAGGCAGGGACCGTGGCCCAGGCAGAGGTGCGGGGGACTTTGATTTCCTGTGAGATACAGTGATGATGGACATGTAATATGTCTGAAATGGTTTTCGTCGTAACAGGCTGCTTAGTACATGCTTTTAAAGTTTAGAAGCATACCAGGGAGGAAGTGAGGCTTGCCGTCACCCTAGGACTGGTGGCTGAAAGTGGTGGCGGGGCTCTTCTAGGGCACTAGTCAAGTTTTGTCCTTGAACTGGAGGCTGATCACAGAGGTATATTTAGTTAATAGCGATTCATGAACTTGTGCACTTCAGGTTTCAGTTCTTTTCTTTCTTCTTCTTTATTTTTTTGTTTGTTTATTTAGGTACTGGGGATTGAACCTGGGGTGCTTTATCACTGAACTGTATTCCAGCCCTTTTTATTTTATTTTTTTATTTTGGGTCAGGGTCTTGCTAAGTTGCTTAGGGCCTCACTAAGTTGCTGAGCTTGGCCTTGAACCTGCCATCCTCCTACCTCAGCCTCCTGGGATTATAGGAGATTGCGGGGATGCGTGCTGGGATGCATGCGCCTCCACACCTGGGTCAGCGTTTTTCTTTCTTTTTTCAAAATTTTTTTTTTAGACATTGATGAACCTTTATTTTATTCATTTATTTATATGCGGAGCTGAGAATTGAACCCAGTGCCTCACACAAGCTAGGCAAGTGCTCTGCCTCTGAGCCCCAACCTCAGCCCCTGGGTCAGCGTTTTCTGTGTCTCCTGAACTGCATTTTGAACACTTCAGGCTGGTGGTGGGGTTCAGTGGTAGAGCATTGTCTAGTGTGCACAGACCCTGGGTTTGATCCCCACCCCTGCAACAAACAAACAAACAGAACACAGCAAGTGGGGGGGCCCTTAATTTGGGCGGCTGTATGTTTTTTTCCACAGGGTTTTCTAGCACCTTCACAGGAGAAAGGAGACCCAAAGATGACCAGGTCTTTGAAGCCGTGGGAACTACAGATGAATTAAGTTCAGCCATTGGGTAAGGGAGGTGGGACTGGCCCTGAGGTCGGGTCTGAATGGGGGGAGAGTGAAGGCCACTACCATGGAAGTGTCTGCACTTGAGTCTGCCTGACTGGGCGCGTAGGCTGGTCAGCCCCTCAAGGTGGCTGGGCTGCAGACACCCTCCTTCCTGGCCCTGCTTGCTCCTGCTTGTCTCGCTGGTCACCGGGTGCAGCTGCCTTTCCCTCCATCCCTACCTGGATCCCTCACTGCTCAGGTGAGCACTGCACCACTGGGCTGTGTCTCTGAAGAGACAGAGACAAGTTAGTGTGATGGGTGGTGTGCCAAGTGCCATCCCGTTCGTGAGTGATAATTCTGAAACAGCCAGTGTTTAGAAGGTTGACGTGAAGAATTAGTTGGGATCAGCCAGGCCAGGTCCCCCAAACCTCAGAGCTTAGAAACCAAAGTTATATTTTCGGCTCGTACCTCAAGCCCATGTCGTGGGTTGGTGTCTCTGCTCCATGTGGCCTTGACTAGGGGACCCAGGAGGGCAGGACAGCATCTGTCTGAGACCCTACCAGTCATGAGGGCAGAGGGAAGAGGAGTCCTGGTGAAGCTCACACTGAGTCTTAGACGTCCCAGAGCCATTCCTGTGGATATGCCTGGCGTGGGTGGGGTGGGAGGGGCAGCACCTGCTGAGAATCATAGCACAGCCCCCCACGCTCAGCGCTGTGAACAGTGTGAGCACAGTATCTCGAGTGCTGGATTCCAGGTCTGACATGGCTCTATGGTGATGGGGCACGGGAACCAGGCAGACCTGGGTTCAAATTTAGTACAACTGCCAGGTAGCTATGTGACTTCAGTCAGACCCCTGGCCTCTCTGAGCCTCAGTTACTGCTCTGTCAAATGGTCGTAGTGATCGTACCCATCTCACTGTGTACTTATGCGATTAAGTGAGATAATTCCATGTTTCCTGCCTAGGACAGTGCCCAGCTTAGCTATTATCATTATCATGATAATTTATGTGTTCATGGCTACCATTTCTCAGCAATGTGCAGACGAGGTGAGATTTTCAAGGCAGATAACGTCACGGGTGGTAGTCTTCCAGCAAGGCAGAGAAGGCAAAACCCTGTCTATGGGGCTGGGGAGACAGGATGAAGTGGGCACAGTGGAGGCAGGATGGGTGCTAACATTGGCCATTCAGAATTAGCAAATGACCTGGGTACAGTGGCACATGCCTGTCATCCCAGGGGCTCTGGAGGCTGAGGCAGGAGGACTGTGAGTTCAAAGCCAGCCTCAGCAACTTAGCAAGGCTCTAAGCAGCTCAGTGAGACCCTGTCTCTAAATAAAATGCAAAATAGGGCTGGGAGTGTGGCTCAGTGTTCGAGTGCCCCTGGGTTCAATCCCTGGTATGTTAAAAAAAAAAAATTAGCCAATCAGTGAGCAGCATCTTCCAACCGATGTGGGGCAAGAGGTCAGTCTAGAACCCTGACAAAGTCTGGGGTCCTTTGTCAGATATTGACCGGGCACCTCCATGTGTCAGACACTGCAAACAGCCTCAGCCCTGCCTCCAGGAGGCCACAGACGCCAATGGGGCGCTGCCTGCGGTGGGACCCGGCAGGGGACAAGCACTGGAGGAGCCCTTGCTGGCAGACATCTCCTCGCACTGGCAGTGCCTGGCCGAATTCTGTGCTCATTTCATGCTGATTGGCGATGGCTGGGCAGGCGCGCGGGTCATTTTTGTTCTCCTTTTGTATCCATTGTCCACCTCCTCTTTCCTTTCTGTACCTGGGCAGCGGGCCTTTTGACTGGTGACCAGCTCCCTGGTTTCCTGGATTTCTGGGGTCCAGCCCATGGGAGGTGGCAGCAGGAGGCTGGAGAGAGGGTGCAGAGGTCTGAGGGCACGCAGGAGCCTGCGCTTTAGCTGGGTGGCGCCTGGTGGCCCTGGGCTCCTGCCTCACTCACTGCCTGGAATCCAGCACTCTGCAGGGTGGGGGCGCCCTCCCCATCCCCTGCCCCTTCAGGCTCCCCCTCCTGCTAGTCTCTGGCATGATCACCAGTTCCCGTAACCGCTCACGCCTCTGAGCCCCCTGCCTTCCCGCCTCTCCTCCCAGTGCACCCCGGTCCCCTCCAGGACGCTGAGGGGTACAAGAGAGAGCGGGGTGCAGCAACTGGGCAGTTTCCTCCCCCCCCATCCCACCTCCCTCAGCCCCCAGAGCCCCACCTCCAGCTGCCCTGGAAGCCCTCCTGCGCCCTGGCTGAGGCCAGCTGGGGCTCCCTCATCTCCCTCCGCACTGACCTCGGCCTGCAGCTTCCCATTTGATAGAATGGTCCCCAACTGAAGTCCCCCCACTGCTGGACAGGCCTGTGTCACCTTCTGTTCCTCACCGAATCCCCACGACTCTGCCAGGGCAGGTGCCCAAAAGGGAATCACTGGGAAAACGAGTGTGAGAAGAGGCAAGGACGCCCCTGGTGTCGGCAGGAGACACGGCCCCGGGCTGCGGCTGAACCAGTGGATGGCCTCCACCTGGGGACGCGTTGGCGCAGCCCTGTCCTAGAGCCGCATCCTTTTTGTTTGTTTCCTCGCAGGTTTGCCATGGAATTAATTGAAGAAAAGGGCCACACGTTTGCCGAAGAGCTTCAGAAAGTAAGTGCGTCCTCTCGCCCCAGGTCGGGGCAGCCCGGTGGCCATGACTGACTTCCTCCTCTGCTCCTGCTCCCCTTTCATGCCTCTGGGGCTGGTCACTCCTGTCTGCATGCCTCGGTTTCCCCATCTGTGAAAAGGGGACATGTGGAGATGACCCTCCTCCTCGGGCAGGACAGAGGACAAAGTGCAGCAGCCTCTCCAGCTGCAGCTCTGCCCCGGGGGGCATTTGGCAGTGCTCAGAGGCATTTGTGATGCTACATCTGGGGGGTGGGGCTGCTGCTGGCATCTGTTGGGACAGACCAGGAGCGCAGCTCAATATCCTACAGTGCACCCGTCTGTCCCCTCCACAAAGGGTGACCCAGTCCCAAAAGGCAGTAACCCCCAGGCTGAGAAACCCACGATGAAGTGCCACAGCTCGGGGACACCCTGCAGCAGTGAGCCCAGCTGGGCCTGCTCACTAGCATTTCTGAATGTTCCTTAAGAAGGAGCAGGCGGGTGGGGTGGCACATGACTGTGGCCCAGATAGCCTGGAGGCTGAGGCAGGAGGATCACAAATTTGAGGCCAGCCTGAGCATCTTAGTGAGACCCTATCTCAAAATAAATTGGTAGGGGGACAGGGTTGGGGTCCAACTCAGTAATAGAGAACCCCTGAGTTTAATCCCCAGTACCTTGAAAAGGAGAGTTGGGGTCTCTGACTCCCAGAGTGAATGTCAAACACAGAGATGGGGACAGCACCTCCAGATGTACCCGAGGTTTCCATCTACATGTCTCCTGAGAGTAGACAGCCCAGGCTTGGGCTCCGGGGAGCAGATAGGCTCCTGCTCCAGAGCCCCGCGTGCCCTAGCTGAGTGTCTCCGCAGCATCCTGTACACATTGGGCTGTAGCGTCCCGTTGGCGTCTCAGTCCAACCAGTCAGGAAACCAGAGCAGTCAGCCAGAGAGGAGCAGCACAGGGCACAGGTGCACGGGAGCCAAGGACAGAGCCAGAAGGTTCCTCTTAACCTCCACCGGGCGCTCCCTGCTCACCGCTGGACACTGGGCCTTGTCCTCCCGCAGACTCTGAAACAGCCTCACAGGTCCCCTCCACAGGGCTAGCGGCCCACCACGGGGTCACTGCAGGTTCTGTTGGTTTGTCACCTCATTGACAGCCTGACAGTCCCACACTCTGTGGCCAGGTGGCACCCCTGCGTGTGGCTCTGTCACTTCTGGCCAGCCTCACGAGTACGACTTCACTCTCCTCTTCTCCCCAGATCCAGTGCGTGCTGCAGGACGTCGGCTCCGCCCTGGCCACCCCACGCTCCTCGGCCAGGGAGGCTCACTTAAGTAACTCTCCCACCTGTCCGGCGGGCGGGGGTCTCCTGGGAGCCCAGGGCCACGCCAGTCGGCCATGAAGCCCCGTGGCCCCCGGAGGGAGGTTGGCCCTGAGGGTGGCTACAGTCTGAGGCCAGGCAGGCGGAAGGGACTCGGGGTGTTGCTTCGAGGGCTGGGCCTCATGGCTGTTCCTCCTGCTCCGCGACCCTCAGGACACACAGCCTTCGAGGCGGGGCCCACCCTGGAGCTGGAGCAGTGGATCGACAAGTACTCCCGCCAGCTGCCCCCGCTCACAGCCTTCATCCTGCCAGTAGGTGTCGGGCGGCCTCCACCAGGTGGGGGGGCTGCGGACCAGGGGTACTGAGAAAAGACGCGGCCTTTCCACGTCCCCCTCAGTAGCCCTTAATAGCGACAGAAGCTGTCCTCCAGCCCCAGGTCCCTCCAGCCTCTCTGACCCCTCCCCAGCCCTGTGCCTGATGGAGCTGCATCTCCAGGGTTGCCCAGTAGGGCCCCCCAGGCCAAATATCGCCCAGCCAACACCCACTTTGTCCTTTCAGTCGGGAGGCAAGAGTAGCTCTGCTCTGCATTTCTGTCGGGCCGTCTGCCGCCGAGCTGAGAGACGGTAAGCCCCCCCAGCTGAGAGATGGTAAGGGCCCCCCCAGCTGAGTAAGGTGTCGTGCCCCCCCCACCTGGCTGAGATGTGAGCCCCGGGGAGGGGGCCTTCACGGCAGGCAGGAGGCAGGTGTGGCTCCCCGTCCAGAGGCAGCTCGGCTCCTGGAGACTTTCTCAGCGGGCCAGGGCAGGCCAGCCCCGAGCCCCGTCCTCCGAGCCCACCTGCAGAGGGGAGACAGAGGCAGAGAAACCAAGGGCTCACTACCCGTGGGCCAGAGGGGCCTGCCTTTCTCCTGAAAGCAAGAAGAAGCCAGTGATGGGTCCCGGCTACTTGAAATAGTGGCATAAAGGACTCCTTTAGCTCATAGAGAGAAGGAGGGGTGTGGGGGCTGCCTGGCTGCGGGGGCCCTGGGTAGAAGTGGTCATAGCCCAGCCACCAGCTGCCTGGGCCTTTCCCCCACTCAGAATGGAAAGCCACCAACAGACTTTTCAAGGACTTGCGAAGTGCCCAATCACACCCCTCCTCAGCCCGGCTGCCGCCCACCTGGAGAACAGAAAGGCAGGTCCCCCAGGTACAAGCCACCTGTGGGCCAGGCGCTCTGCTCATGATCTCATAGGTCCCTCAGCAGAGCCCTGAAATCCATGGCAGCCCCTCCTTATAGGAGTCAGGAAATGGCTTAGAGAGGTGACATCATGGCTAGGGTCACCAAGTGGTCCCTGCAGAGTGCAGAGTGTAGTTCAGCCCAGGTCTCTCCAGCCAAACCCTGAGCTCTCCATGACCCCACACCACAAAAGCTCTGTCCTTCATGAAAGGCTCTTGGTCCAAGACAGGCAAAGGGATCCTGGGTAACAGAAAGTTTTAGCTTCAAAAGCAAAAAATATGCTAGGCCCAGTGGCACATACCTGTCATCCCAGGGACTCGGGAGGCTGAGGCAGGAGAACGGTTAGCTCAACGCCAGCCTGGGCAACTTAGGAGGACCCTGTCTCCAAGTTAATCAATTAATTAAAAGGGCTGGGGATGTAGTTCAGCATTAAAGTCCCCTTGAGTTCAGTCCCAAGCACAGAAGAAATTAATTAAAAATAAAAGTTAAATAAATAAGGGGTTGGGGATTTAACACCCCTGGGTTCAATCCTCATAAGTATTGAACAAAAATAAAAAAGCAAAACATGTCATTTGTTCAAAGTCACGTACATCAGTAGAGCTCATAGCAGCAAGAAGTCAGAAACCGCCCAGAGGCCCAGCGAGGGGAGGGCTGAGCAGATGGAGGTCTCAGAGGCAGGCGGCCACTGCTGTAGCCATGAGCAGCAGACTATCTGGGGGGGGAGGACAGTGGCTGGGACACTTCTGGTAAAGAACCTCCATGCTGAGTGGGAGGCGCCCCCCGGGGCAGGCTGGACCCACTTCCTGCCTGGACCATCAGCCAGTTGTGTGACCTCAGATGGGGGCAAGAACCCCGAGGCTGGGTCTGGGGACAGTGCCGCCCAGCAAGGGTCCTGCAGCAGCAGCAATATGCAGGAGGGGCCTGGCAGGGCCCTGAACCTTCTCAGTGCTTAGCAGATTGCAGTCCACTGTCTGAAACGTCTATACAGACTGGCGGGGACCCTGGGAACTCGGAATCGTGGGGAACTGGGAGCTTGGTTGGCTTGGGTCTTTTCTTTCCCATGAAGTTGCTCCAAGCTGTAGTTTAAACTGGCAGCCCCTTGGGGATTAAGGGTTAGCTTTCCGCTTGGAAGGCTGGGGTGGTTACTCTGTCCTACCCAGTTAGGGGCCCAGACCTGGGCCCTGTCGCCCCAAAACCAGTGCACTGGGATGCAGGGCAGCTATCCCACCAACCTCTGCTCTGTGCTCCATCCCTCCTTGGCCAGGCCCTATCTGATGTGTCCAAGGAAAGGGGATTGAATGACCTATTAAGCCCACCAGGGACAAGGACAGTTTCCACCTCTGGTGCTGGCGAAGTTTGCACAGACTGAAGTCGACCAGGGCCATCTGGGAAGAGCTGTTTGGGAGAGGCCCAGGTCCCTGGGTGTGCTGGGTCCTGCAGCATGGCGTGACTGTGTTTTCTCTTCTCAGCGTGGTGCCTCTTGTCCAGATGGGAGAGACGGATGCCAATGTGGCCAAGTTCTTAAACAGGTACTTGCGCAGGGTGGCGGACGGGTCTCTGCTCCGAACTCTAGGCACGTTTGTGGGACAGCACCCCGGTGGTTCGGGTCTGCGGAGCCCTGCAGGGGCCGTGCTCACTCGCCCACCCCTCTGCTCATGTTTGTGGGTGTCTGCTGTGTGCCAGGCACGGTGCCAGGTGTGGGGAGCAGCTGTGGAGGAGACAGACATTGTCCCTGTCCTTGGCGAGGCTGAGATCTGGTTGGAAGAGACCACTGTAAAAAATAGTGGAAACGAATAAGCAGAGGGACAGGCTGGAAGCCTGGTCAGGGGAGTCCTCACGAGGCATCTGACAGTGACCGCCAGGGAGACCAGCCAGTCTCCCTTCCCAGAGACACTCCAGGGCAGCAGAGAGGCAGGCCCGGCCAAGCTCGGGAGCCCTGGTGCAGGACCCAGTGACCCAGGGAGGACTCCCTGTGCCTCGGCAGCCTGAAGCCTGCTCCACTGGATTCGCTGGGTGGCATGAGCATGGGCGAGGCCAGAGCCCAGGGGCAGCACCCCAGAAGCTGTGCCCGCCGTGCTGTGAGTGACTGCATAGCAGGCGTGGCTCCTGACAGTGGACTCCCCTCTCACTGGGTCGTGGCCTGGGCTCGGGTGGCTCCTGATCAGCTCCTTCCTCCTGGGAGGCGCAGACCCCCGACCAGCAGCTCCATCCCACCTTTGCAGCCCCCCCACCCCCCGAGCCCCTAAGGTCTGCAGTGGCATGTGGCCAGGCTGCTCCGCCCCGGGCAGATGCTACGGAGCCAACAAGAAACAGCACGTCGCTGCCCTCCAGGAGTTACAGGAGGGGGCAGTACCCAGAGCAGTCTCCCCTACTGTCCCCAAAGAGCCAGCAGTGGGCCACCAGGAGTGGGCGGGTGGGCCCAGGGGCTGGGCATGGTCAGAGAGTTCTGTGGTGCTGACCTCAGGGAGGGGGAGGGCTTGGTGTGGCAGCGGCTGAGGGGGACAGCCTAGATGGACCCGAGGAAGCACCTCACGGCAGGCATGGCGTCCCATCCTGCATGCTCTCCACCAGTTTCCCTGCAAAAGGCCCCTGCCCGGAGGCCATCACTGCTGGGGCAAAGGAAGGAGAGAGAGTGACTGTGCCCTGGTCACTAGAACACTCCAGGCCAGTGCTTCCCAGGACATCATGGTTCTGGAGACAGCTTCAGTTGTCACAGCTGGGGGTTGGGGTGCTACCAGCATCTAGTGGGTAGACACTGAGGCTGCTGATACCCTACGATGCCTAGGACCACCTGACCTCAAGGAATAGTCCAGAATGTCCTACTGCCAAGGTCAAGAACCCTCCCTTCTCAAAGTGTGGTAGTGCTGACCAGAATGGGGATCTGCATGTCACACGGTCCCCGGGTGATCCGTGCACCCTCCAGTTTGGGAAGTAGCAGTCCTGGTTACTCGAAGTGCACGAACCAACCCAAAGGGTGGTCCAGAGTTCCTGCCCGTGGGGTCAGGGCAGGTCAACAGCAGGTCTGGCAGGAACTGCCCCATCCAGTACCAAAGTTGGGACCCTGGCTGTCACAAAAGCTGACCTCGGTGCCACCCGTCTGACCCAAGAGGGCTGGGCACATGCCGTCCCCGCACAGTGCTCCCGGGGCTTCATGGCTCCTCCTTGTAGGCCACAGAGGAAGGCCCGTGGGCACTGACCTCATCTCTCTTCCTCTCTGCTCCTCGCAGACTCAGCGACTACCTCTTCACGGTGGCCAGATACGCAGCCATGAAGGAGGGGAACCAGGAGAAGATATACAGGAGAACGGCCCATCGGACTGAGACCCAGGCCCCTTGAAATACCACAGCGGGGGTTGTGGGTCCCTGTGGTGACCGGGGGCAGCTTGCTTTCCAGAGTCCTGGTTCCTGAGGAGCTCGTCACAAGGGTCTTTGCCTCGAAGCCCCTGCCACCTCCCTCGAAGGACCACGGCCCCTGAGATTTCTGCCCCTGCATCCCCAGAGCGTCCTGGGTCTCAGAAAGGTCAAGGACAGCCGCAAAGAGGAGGGGCCACGTGGGAAAAAGAATAAAAATGGGGAGGCTTGAGCCAGTGTGTGCGGGTGTGAGGGGGACAGGGAGCGGGGACAGCGAGCGCTGCCGGGCCAGCCTCCCGCTCCAGCTGCGGTTGTCAAGGACCTGCAGTGGCACCAGAGGCCCTTGGAAGTGTGATCATGATTCACCTGTGCCAACGGGGCTTTAAATGTCACATTTATAAAGGGGACAGCAGGCTGGATTTGGAAGTTTAGTTCACCTCTGAGCCACCCATCACTGCCACCGTGTGGGGGAAGGACAGCTGCAAATTGACAGGTGTGGCTTCAGAAACGCCACCCTCCGTGAACTGAGTGTGGGGGTGCAGCTCAGAGACCCTCCATGGTGGGGAGGAGGCCCTGGGGGAGCAATGCTGCATCACATACAAACGCCCCTTCCTGCCCAGGGCCCGAGTGCCAAGGGCGAGGTGGCACCGTTCAGCTTAAGGACACGAGACCTTCAGGCCGGGCCAGCCCAAGGCCAGGGAGACTGCGAGGCCTGCTCTGCGCTCTGAGATCCGTGCCAGGCCGGGTGTCATCGCGTGTGTCACCGCTCCCCTCCTGCTATGAGATGACACCACCAGTGCCAGCTGTGTCCTTGGGAAGAGGGATATTTATGAAGGGGAGAGGCCGCCGTGAGAACCTGAGGATGTCACGCTGCTCATCATCGCAGGAAGTGACTTCCAGAAGGGCAGGAGCGGCTGGCCGGGCTGAGGTGCCTGGTGAGCTGATCCCGCAACCCGTCCTTTCTCAAGCTCCTGCTGAGGCCCGGGCGGCTGGTCACTCCAGCAAGTGGCAACACCGCTGCCAGCCGCGGGCCCGTGCCCACCTCCCCCACCCTCCTGATTATTTTTGCCAGCGAGGCAGGTGCATTGGGCACCGCTGGGTCCCTCTGTGGCTGACGGGGTGCCCTCTGGAGCCTTGGGCAGAGAGTGAGGTCCAGGTGCCCAGGAGCGAGAAACACTCTCTCTAGGAGGCGGCCACGTCTAGTGCCACCCCACCCCCTGGTTAGAATGGGCTGTGCCAACAAGACTGAAGCTGGAAGTGCCCCTGACTGCTGTGCCATCTCCACACCCAGACGGGGAGCAGGGGTCCGAGAGCCTGCGGCCATCACAGCACTGCCCACAGCGCCAGATCCACCAGGAAGGGGCACGCTGTACTTGATGAAGCAACAACCCACGCTGCTGGCCAGGGTGAAGGACCAAGAAGTGCCCAGGGCCTAGGACATTCTGGAATAATAAGGGAATTTGTCAGACACCTGCAGGGGGATCTTACTTCAGGTTCCCAGCCCCCGCCTCTGGCCCCATCTTCCCTTCCATCAGCAGACCTTTCCCTGGGAGACCAGCCAGGGACACGCAGGCAGTTCAGTCTGTGTCCCCAGCCCAGGCGAAGCAGCAGGCTGGCTTGGGTGACCCAGAGAGTGGGCTGTTTGAAAGTGGGCGGGACTTCCAAAGCCACGGAGACCCCCTGCAGAAGGAAAAATGTGTGCCACTGGGTACACTCATCAAAATAGCCTCCCAGCTCCCAGATTTCAAACCAAGTGGGAAAAGTTAGTAAACGTTTCATAGTCAAGACACATCTAGCCCGGGTTTCCCAACGTGTTAGCGCACAATCGGCGACCTTGGCTGACCGCCACCTCACAGGGTAGCAGGGGGTTGTGACACAGCAGCTTGTTTTATTTAGAATGACAGTACCCACTGGGCATGGTGGTGCACGCCTGTCATCCCGGTGGCTCTGGAGGCTGAGGCAGGAGGATCTCGAGTTCAAAGCCAGCCTCAGCAATTTAGCAGGGTCCTAGGCAATTTAGTGAGACCCTGTCTCTAAATAAAGAAGGACTGAGGATGTGGCTCAGTGGTCAAGCTTGCCTTCATCCTCCAGCCCAAAGTCAAGTCAGACTGCAATACCAGAGGTATCGGGGGTTTCCGTATTTTGAAATCTGGACCTCACTCTCTGTCCAAGGCTCCAGAGGGGCGCCCCTGTCAGCCACAGAGGGACCCAGTGGAGCCCAATGCACCTGCCTCGCTGGCAAAAATAATCAGGAGGGTGGGGAGGAGCAAGAGCAAGGGATGGGCAGCAAGGTGGCACACACGTAGTCCCCGCAACTCGGGAAGCCGAGGGAGAAAGGCAAGTTCAAGGCCAGCCTTGGCAAGTTAGCGAGACCCTGTCTCAAAGTAAGAAAGAATCAGGGCTGGGGCTGCAGCTCAGTGGTACAGCACCTCTGGGTTCAACCCCCAGTGCACTGAGCTGCAGCCCCAGCCCTGATTATATAAATAAATTGCATGAAAACTCACCTTGATCACCAAGTGTCATGGTGCTCCCATAGTGTGCACCCCAGAAAGTGCCTCGCCCACCCTGCCACGTCCAGCCAAGCTCCTTGGAACCTGGTATCATTCTGGAGAGGAATGATAAGGACGCCAGCCAACCTGGTGGAGGGTCTGCCACGTGCTGAGTCCCCAGCGAGTGCCCCACCCCTGCGGTCTCCTCTGAGCCTCACTGCCCCCCCCAGGGAGGCAACCTAGGGGCTCTGTTTGGCAGGTGGGGGACAGGCTCCGAGAGCCAGCCTTGGACGCGGTGTCGAGCCGCCCAGCCCCACGCCTTGCTCCTGCCCGCCGCCCCTTGACAGTCCCCTTCATCACGCCCTGGGCTGCGGCGAGCAGTGCCAGGTGCTAATAGATCCTGCTGTCCCATCGCTCAGCCTGGTTTCCCTTAACTGATATTTCATGGCCATTGTTAATGTGCGCTCTTCACTGAGTAATTTCCACAGCCCCAACTTGTAACACATCCCAATGACAAACGTCCCCAGCTCCGAGTCCCTCGTCAGCTGCAATGTCACCCTCGCCTCCTCCCCGACATCTTCCGACAGCCCCTCCAGTTTTATGACCGCTCTGTCCCAGCGATCACTACCGAACCTTTAAGGATCCAGACGCATTTCAAGTTTAATTGAATAAAATTCCTTGTATAATAAATTCCACAGGAACGCTTCATAAATCTGGGCCTGGAAGGATTTGTGGCTCGTCCCTCCCCCATGACGAGGCAATAGGGGGCCCTCGCTGTCCTGTCTTGATCAGCGAAGGAAGCGAGTTCCCTTTGCCGTCCGGCAGGAGCGTCGCTGCCCATGCTTTGATCTGTTGCTTTTCTTCTCTGACAGCCCCTCGCGGAAGATGGTACTTCAGGCCAAGCAGAGCAAGGGATGGGCACGCTGGGGATGGGGACCAGGAATGCAGGGGATGTCCCTTGTGTTCCATCCACTCCTCAGAATCAGTTTCCAAAGTTGTCATTCATGTGTCACCTTTTTTTGGATAGGGGTTACCAGGGATTGAACTCAGGGGCACTCAACCACTGAGCCCCATCCCCAGCCCTATTTTGTATTTTATTTAGAGACAGGGTCTCACTGAGTTGCTTAGCGCCTCACTGTTGCTGAGGCTGGCCTTGAACTCACAGTCCTCCTGCCTCAGCCTCCTGGGCTACTGGGATGACAGGTGTGCACCATCCGGCCTGGCTGTTTGTCACCTTTTGAATTCTGACAAAACTCCCTCACACTCTCCCTAGATAGAAGCACACACATGCCCACACATTTTCATACCCATTCCTGGAGTCCCCAGGTAAAGTAACCCAGGCCATTGGAGCATGGAGGCACTTGCCTGTAGTCTGGCTGCTTGGGAAGCTGAGGCAGGAGAATCTCTTGACCCCGGGATTTGACCCCAACCTGGACAACACAGCAAGACCCTGTCTCCAAAACAAACAGTGAAACAGCCCGCGACACCCTCTTCAGGAACTCGGTGGAAATTCATGGGCCGCCTTCTCCAGCAGCCTCCTGGAGGGGCTGACGGAGCCCAGCCCTGAAGGGTGAGAAGAGGAGCACTTGGGCCCGGCAGGGAGAGACCTCTGACGCTTGCAGAACCATGGTGCGCACCGAGCGACCCGCTTGGCCTCGTCCTGGTTCCACGATTCTGGGCCAGGCACTCCGTCTTCCTCACTTGCTTCTCCACCTGTAGAACAAGAATGATGGCATCCACTGTCCACCCAGGGCTCACTGCGAGAGTTTAATGAGGTAGTATTTACCAGGGCTTAGCAGCTCCCTGGCAAACATTAGCACTGATGGTTACAGTGCTCTTACTATTATTCTTCAAGTCCAGAGTCCACTTGGCCCCTTCCATGGGTCACCTGGAGCAACTCGTTGGCCACCCTGAGCCGCACTCTCCATCTTCTACACTCGGGAATGATGATGTCAACTTCCAGGGCTGGGTTTGGGGCTCAGTGGCAGAGTGCTTGCCTAGCATGTTGCCTAGCCCCGGGTTTGATTCTCAGCACCACCAATAAATAAATAAAATAAAGGCCCATTGACAACTAAAAAATTTTTTAAAAAATGTCCACCTCCAAAGGTTCAGGGAATAAGTCCATGGGTCTGTCACAAGGTAGCAGCTCAAAAAAATTAGAAAGCTATTGGCGTTGAGTTGTGTCTTACACTTTTCTGAGCAACGCTGCCCCCATTTAATGGACAGAGAAACTGAGGCCTGAAGAGAGGAACTTGATAGGTAAATATCAGTAATAACCTCAGATTGAGCCCTGATTATGTCCAAGTATCTGACTGAGGACGTCACAGGCCGTGGTTGGTTGGATTTCCTCAGTAGCGTTCTCGAGGACAGCCAGCCTTTGAGTCAGCACCCGGTACTTTCAGACACGACGTTCATTCACCCACTGCAGCTCATTCCAGACTCCCCTCCTCTCCCTCCTCCTCCTCTCCCTCCCCTCCCTTTTCTTCCTCTCCCCTTCCTCTCCTTCTTCATTTTTTTAAGTTGTGGCCTTGCTATGCTGCCCAGGCTGGCCATCAACCCTTGGGCTCCATGGATCCTCCCACCTCAGCCTCCTGAGCAGTTGGGACCACAGGGTCACACGGCCACCCCTGGCAGAGCTGGGTTATGTGTCTTATTCCTCAGAGCTCTGCACGGCCATGTACAATTATCCTTCCTTTGAGGGGCAGGGAAACTGAGGCTTTCCCAAAGCCATATGTCCACTGGG